CCTGACCTAAGACGCTCCGTAATGGATGTTCGTGATAAAAGAAGCGCAGAGCTATCAACCGATCATCAGCTTGTTGCTGTAAGAAATGGAGTACCATACGAAGATCTGGTGGCAGAAGCAACGAAAGAATCAAATGAGAAACATTATCTTCAGTGGACACGAGAGCAAAATTTGCAAACAACGTACGACGCACTGAACTGATGCCGGTGATGATTTCTGATGTGGAAACCGAGTGCCAGCTCTTTAAGAGCAGAATACTCGAGGCTGCCGTATAATGCTACGGATTTAAACCGGTGGCATGCAGCCTGGAGATCAAAAAACATCTTCCTGTTGGGCATGAAAGATAGAACTGGCAATTATTAAGGAAAATGTAGCGTTCAAGAAATGGCTCGGAAACGAAGAGCATCTACTCGCGTGCAATATGTCGAGAAACGCGAGCCGGCAGCGAAAGCAGTGGCGAAAGCCAAAGCTGATTCTTGGGAGAAGTTCGGTGAGGTGTTGGGGTCGAATTTCCACACGGCAAACAAGATATTCCGGCAGACGATTCGCGGCTTCCAGGCGAAAACAACGGCAACCTCAGAGTCCTGAAGGACAGGTATGGACAGCCTCTTACCGAGTATGAAGACATTCTTCGGCGATTGAGAGAGTTATTCTGATGAACCCTTTAACCCCGAACAACTGCAAGAACACTCGCCCATAAAACAGCATGAAATTACACAAGCTTCGAAAAGGTTGTTAATGGAAAGGCAACTCGAATTGAAGAAATCTGCCTTGAAATGTTGAAGGCATTAGGCGAACAAAGCATGCGCTGAATACGAGGAAGAAACTACCGGACTAGAGAACGATTCAAGAAGAGCGATCAAGGGGAGTACTCCAATTATAGAGGCATTAGGTTTTAAAGCCTCAAAGGTAAAGTCTACGCAAAGGTGCTAGAAAGGAGGTGTCGCGCAATAACTGACTCCAAGTACAAGAAGAACAGTGTGGCTTCTGGCCCGGTGGAAGCACTTCTGACCATACATTTTCCCTGCGCCAGATTATTCAGAAATCGTGTGAGTATGCCCGTCCGGTGTACGTGTTTTACTGACGTAGAAAAAGCCTGACCGGATACCGCGAAACATTTCGCGGTCATGCCTGCCAACACACAGGATAGATGGCCAGGTGTTAAGGGTCATCTAATCACTGTACTGTGATAGCAAGTGCTGCGTCAGAGTAAATGGCGTTAAGTCGAAGCCCTTCAACCTTCGCACTGGTCTACGCCATGGCTGCGTCCTGTCCCCTATCCTGCTTGTGTTGTATATGGATGGAATAGTCAGGAGCTGCCAAGGCGATGAGGGTATCCGTGTAGGAGATGTGGAAACGAGAAGGTTGCTGTTTGCAGACGACCTTATTTTACTGGCATCTACAATAGATCTACAGTGCTCCGTAGAAAGATTCGCAGTCGAGTGCGACGCGACCGGCATGCGTATGAACGCATCTAAAACGCAAAACCTACTGCTTTCTCGTTTTCTTGCCCGCTGCTTTCTTGAGATTAACGGAGAGGCAGTGGAGCAGGTGGAGAAGTTCAAGTATTTCGGAATCACGATCACAACTGATGCAAAGTTTGAGGACGAGATCGACTGGCGAATTGGAGTAGACAGTGGCGTTCTGTGTGAACTAGTTTAATCCACTGTGTTTAAAACAGGGCTCAGTCTGAATACTAAGCTGTTGGAATTCAAGTCGATCTTTATCTCCATGCCTACATGCGATAATGAGTCTTGGACGATGACTCAAAAGCTTCGAACCGGGTACAAGCGGCTGAAATGGACTTTCTTAGACGAGTCGCTGGCCTTACGCATCTGGACATGAACCGGAATACAGACATCCAGCAGAGTCCTGGTGAACAACCTCTGCTTCTCCAGATTGAGAAGTCACAGCTGCGATGGCTTGGGTATGTTACTAACGCCTCCAGAAAGGAAGGTGGCAACTGTTTGTTGCCAAACCTACCTGCAGAAGTCCCAGAGGACGAACAAGATTAACTTGCAGCAAATATATGGAAGTAGTCAGTTCGATACTCCAGTTATCTTCTGCAGAATGCTCAGACTCTGACACAGGATCGGGAACTTTGAAAGAGCTGTCATGACGCGTCTGTCTCCAAGACCCGAAAGAAGAAGCGACCACGGAAGATGGAGATCGATTTATATCCGCACTGATGTCATGATTTAAAACAATTCAAGCATGGGTTCAGTGAGTACTCGAAACTACTAAATTCGTAGAAAGGCCCAAAATACGCTGCAACTGTGGTAAGTTATTTACTGATCATCCGTCATCTGCGACTGCCTGTGCTTAAGAGGTTAAACGAGATAAGTGCACCGCTTAGGCATTTGACTTATTCCGAGTTATCTGATGCAGCGAAGGTACATCCCCACGTTCCTTATCACTGTTTTGCCATCACATGATGTGCACAGCCTATGCTCAGTTCACTGATACTAATTCAATCTAAATCTTATCAAACTTCTCAATTTATAGCCACCAGGAGTTTTTGAAATACATACAGAATGAATAAGGATGATCAGACCGCCGAAACTGTCGGATTTTTCACTGTACTGCAGCCTTTGATCAGATACTCAAACTACAAAACATGCAACAGTTCTATTGCTGAGCAGTCGATTATATGGAATGGAACGAAAAATGGTGCATAAAATCGAAGAAAGCTCAAAAAAATTACCGTTTTGCTTTATGAGTCACCTACGAATTGAAGAAGCCATGACAAGCCGTCAATGACCAATGTTTATCAAAACAACATGCATACGTTTCGCAAACAAAATGGAATAAACGTGGATGATCTCGAAAGTATATATTGATCCTTGTCTTCACCTTCAAAATGAGCTGACTGCATTCAGTATTTACGGACAGAGGCAGACGAATGAGATCCTAATTGTCGATTTTACAACCCACCCTTCGAACAAAGAATAGTGCTCATTATGAGGACTAAACAGTGTCAGAACATGAATACTGCTTAGTTCTGAAGTAATACAATGGTTTTACGGCAACGTTAGTCTTAAAATAAACACCTAATATCAACAATCAACGTGTGCCAATAACCACTGAAACTGAACTTGTTTTCAAACGTGGCTGTGACAAAAGAATGTAAGATAAACACGCCTGGCTTTCAGAAGGACAGTGATCGTCATCAAATAATGTGAACAAATCGGGTCAGCGGTCAGTAGACAGACGATTCCACGGATTTGTATTCGCTGCAGATATTTCTAACGAATGAGAGATCTCTGAGAAGTTCCAGGACTGGCAGGAATCCTTAAGAAATTTGACCGATCTTAAGAGACACTGAGGAACTTCAGGAAATAGGCACGCACATGCGAAACTAAATTGGCTGGTTGACAGTCATGACTATCACCATCACTAGTGTAGCCGGCCCCAATGAAGTCCTGGATCGCTGTTTCCCACTTTCGTCGATCATGCTCAATGCTCAACACAAAGTTCAACCTGTCTTTCTTCCAACGCTTGCACCAAATACGCTATTCGCTCAATGAGGAGTCCTGGGTTAGCTCTGAGTGTTCCACCATGTCCAAACTTGTCCGAAACGTTTCAGATGCAACCCAGGGATCAGGGTGGCAATGGAGACGATATAACCTGGTAAATGTCTCAGCACGTGTCCCAGCCAGAGCAATAACCGCTCATTCAAGACAGTAGAGAGTTGGATAATATTGCAACGGATATGGATTATGGAGCTGGATAAATCGCGTCCACGAGATAAGTAATAAACACCCACGGTTGGACGATTCTAGTTTCTCTGCGGCTTTGACTCTTACGGCCCAACTCTCAGATCTATCTACAAGGATGGAACGGATGGTGGTTTGCAAAATTTGACAATCCGAATTCAGACCAATCTCAGGCTGTGTCCAAAGAGGTTGGACGTTTTGCTGCCGTGAACGAAAGCCATCTTTACAGCAATCCGAGCCGGCAAAGGAGCCAAAGTAATTGAAAGCGCTGACTTCTTCAAGGTGAGTGGCATGCAGGAAGATGGCTTGCTTTGACTCATTTCGGGATCCTTTTGGAGATTATTTTCGGCTTTGTGACGTTGATTACTTCATCTCACTGGTACAATCACGTTATGGACTGCTTAAGGACATAATGAGAATCGTAACAGTTCGATGACAATGGTGATGCCGTCGGCACTGCGCACTGCCTAGACTGGTGAAGCAGTGGCCACGACTAACGTAAACCCTGCGATTCATTAACTGTTGTTCTCATGATTCAACCATTGTCAAAGTTGAACAGAACTCGGAGAACACACTGCCCGTAAGAACGCTATTTTCTTATGCAGTGTTAGAAAAGTCCGCTAGTCCACCGAAGGCCCTGATTTTGCTTCTGTCCTACACAAAATATGCCTTAATTAGGTGCACAGGTCGAAACTACATTACAGTATAGTTCATAGTAGCATCATGGAGGTCAATGCAAACCGAATCTGTATCGAACGCATCAGCGTCGCCGCCGGCTCGCAGGATCTTCTGACCCGACCATACCAGAATATCGCAGT